CATGAATAAGGTAATACTATAAAATAATTTGTGTTGAAGTAAAATAAGTTTTTGTTTATGTTTTTGATATATATGAGGTAATAGATATATTATTAATATACAAAAAAGTGGATTATATATTGCACCCCGAAAAACAAGGTAGATTATATATATATAAACATTCTCGTAATTATGTGATTTAAGTTACATTTATAGGATGTTGACAAATTTATTTTTCACTGTACGCCTTCTAAACTTCTCTTATTCATTGTTTTCCTTGCCATGAGTATGCGTATATATATGACTGATAAACAATGTTATAATGAAGATTATGCTATTGCTTTATTTAAAATTATTATTATTAGTTCATATATATATATATATATATAAAATTTCTATTTAATCTTTCCCTTTTTGCTATAATTGTAAATCACGAATACTACTATGGCATAAATTGTAACACATGATTAATTATATTACATGTTTCACATTTTTCAGAGTGATGAACGGGACAACAAATTCTAAAAGAGATTAAGCTAATGTTATTTTTGTAACATCCTGATTTTTTTTAGATAAAAAAAATATTTTTGTAAAATTTAAATTTTTATTAAAAAAATGATAATAATAATAGGAATTTATATTATTTGAGATTATTTAGAAATAATAATATGGTTAGAAATTTAATTATGAATTTAAAATTTAGGTTTAAAAATTATATAAGAAATATTTTATTAAGATATAATTTTAAAATTTAGAATAATAAAAAAAAATATATGTGTGTGAGTAAAAAAAAGAAGAAAGAAAGTAAAAAAAAAAAAGAGGTACTGTGGAAGTCCCACATTGTTTAGATGTGGGAAAGGAGAGGCGCCTCCTCACATATAAAAGGAAGAGGTGCATGCATAAGGAGCGGCAGAAGCAAAATAAAAAATTTTGCAATTTGTGAAAATTGCAGCTAAGGATCCAAAATGTAATTTAGAAAAAATTGCAAATAATGGCTCAAAAGTTTGAATAATTAAATTCAGACCTATATTTTTTTTAATAATATAATTTTGGAACCCACAATCTCATTTTTATATTATTTTTTTCTCTTCCTCTCACGTTGCTCGACGTTTTCTCGCAAGGGAGGATTATTTTCTTTTTCTTCAGGTATGTTTTAACTTTCCTGTTTAGATTAGCATTTAAAAATTTATTTAATTATAAAATTAATTTTATAGTTATTTTCTAAATAATATTAGCTTTCTAGTGATATGATTATTTTGTAGGATAGAGTAAATATTCTGATTAATATTTTTCTATAGGATAGTTAATCTGATGATATGATGGATTAAAAATATAGGTTAAAACTCTTAGGGATATAATAAATATTATAGAATATTTTCTTGAGGTTGAAACTTATGTTTAAGAATTTTTGAGTTAAAATCTAGATTTATATGATTGAATTTATGTCGAATCTGAGATGTAGGGATAAATCTATAATTATTAAATATTTATTTAAGTATAAATAGGTATTTTTAAGGTTATAGAAAGGTGATTTGAGGCTTCAGAATAATTCTAAAATTTTTAATTTATTTTTGGATGAATTTTTAGAATATAGAAGGATGAAATTGTGATACTAGAAGTGATTTGAGGATAAAAAAATATAATTTATTAGGGTACGAGAATTTTATAAAAGAACTTGAGAAGTTAAATGAGGCATAAATCTTAAATTAGTGTTAATATGAATTATAGATCTAAGACTTTCTAACTCTTTAAATTAGAGTTATTTATTTTAATGTAAAATTAATATATAGTATTGTGAAATAATTATGTAGATTATATTGACAAAGATAGTGGTAAAAAAGGAGTTGTGAAGGGGAACTTGTTATTCAAGATACAAGGTAACCATTATTAATGTGTTGTGATGGGTGTGTTTGTGAATGGTTATGTATTGTTTTGTTGTTTGAAAAAATTATGAATTATTGAAAATAAATAATGTTATATACTTGTTTGAAATCATTGCCAAGTGGGTTAAAAATTTATTTTTATTTATCATGATGAGATATTATTGTTCGAATATATTCCTATTTGGATATTTGAATAATGTATAACTTGTCAAGGTATTTTAATATATGGTGTTCATAGGAATTTCTGTTCGGTTAATTATTACCACGTGGTAAGCCCTCATTGGACCCAATGAGTGGCGTGTCGCTTGTTCCAAGTCACCTTTGGCCGGATGATTTGGCATCTGAGCATGGCGAAAGGAGGATATAAGGTGCAGTCATGCAAATTAAATCCTTGTTCGGTTTGTTTGAAAATATTGTTTGGTTAAATATTTTGTATGCCCACTTAGCAATCGCATAATTAGTTACAACCGCATGCATCATTACATATTAATTTTTAATTACTGGGACTTTTAAGTCTCATTCCCCTTGGTTAATATTTTTACAGGAGCGAGTCCGGCCGAGAAAGCACCAGAAGTGTAACTATGGTGTATGAGACATCATCTTTTACGTTGCCTCTTATTTTATATTATACAATGTATCTTGTGCCAACTTAGGACATATCTTCTTTGTGAAGCATGTAAACTCTAATCCTTTTTATTAAAAGTATTATATGACCAAGAGGATTATGTCTGTCCCTCTTGATTTATAATCTGATTTGAATATCATGCCATGAGAATTATGTCTGTCCCTCATGATTTTAATTGCCTTTTTGGATATTTTAAAACTTGTGTTATGTCTTAGATGTATCATGGTAAGAAAATTTTCTACCATAATAATGGTTTTAATAATTTATGAAAAATCAATTTGTAAATTTGAGGGTGTTACATATTGATATCAGAGCAAGAGGTAAACCATTAAGAAATTGTTTATGTTTCTTAGTATGCATAAGTGTCACGTGTTGTAAAATAAAACTGTTACTTAGATTTTAATTTTCATGAGCAACAACCGATAGGTATAAAAATATTTAGGAAAAAATACATATAGGTCTTGTGGGGCTGACTTATTTACAAATAAATATAAAAAAATTTAAAAATCATAAGTAGGTCTCTTAAAACTTGAGTGTAATTTAAAATTTAGATAAAAAGATAATAATGACCCTATTAAACATATACGCATTACACCAGTCAAATAATTTACAACTACTTCATCAATGATTTACAACTATAAATTTAATTTTTTACGACTGTAACTTTAGATATTCAATAATTAAACTAATCGATTTAATTATTGAATATGTAAAGTTATAGTCACAAAAAGTTATAGTTGTAGTTGTAAATTATTGATAAAATAATTATAAATAATTAATGTTAAACTTTGTTAGTAACACATAATTGTTTAACTATTAAATATATGAAGTTACAGTTGTAAAAAATTAAAATTACAAATATAAATTGCTAATAAAGTAGTTGTAAATTAATTATTTGATTGATATAATATATTTTAATGAGGGTATTATTATCTTTGCAGTCTAATTTTAAATTACACTTAAGTCTCAAGAGACCTTGTTGTGGTTTTCAAATTTTGTGAGACTTATTTATAAATAAGTATGCTCCACGGAAGCTATGTGTAATTTTCTCAAATATTTATTGTGAAGCAAATTTTTTCCTTCAATTAATTATATAGGAAAAAAACTTATTTGTAAGCTTATTTTTTAATGTGATTTCGAAGTTTACCTCATATTATTAATTTAAAAAATAAAAGAGCATGAGTATGGAGAACCGGCAATTTCGTCCATAGGACAATACATTTTAACAAAACGCTATTATTTATTATTTAATTTTCACAGGCAAGATATGATTTAAAATAAAATAATTTATTATTTGAATTTGACTTAAACAAAAGATAAAGGTATAAATTTAACCATAAACTATTTTTCAAGGACTACTACACAACTTATACTTTGAGGTTGTATAAAATAAATATTGAATTATTAAAAATGAAGTATCCAATGACCTCTATTAATTACAAGTTGACAAACGTCTATTTTTAATAATGAGGCCCACATTCATCATCTCCTTTTGTCTCACCACTGTTGAAACTTCTCTGAAACCTCTTTTGTCTTCCCCCCAAACAAAAATATCCATAGAGAATCTTGTCTTCTTTGCCTTCATCATCCCATGTGCTAATGTCACGTATCATCTTCATCAACAAGTTTCATGACATCTTCAATCTTCCCCAAGTCGCTGTCATTTAAGGCCAGAGTAGTGGCAAGTCTAGTGTCCTCGAAGATCTTGTCGATCACAATTTCTTTTCCACAGGTAATGATTTTTGCACTAGGAGGCCTTTGGTGTTGCAACTTGTAAAGACTAAGAAGAAGTTTGATAGCACTGAAGAGGAGCATGAGAGTTCCTCCACTTAATTGGTAAGAGATTCTACAATTTCTTTGAGATTTGAAGTGAGATAAAGCATGTGAAAGGTATTGTTTAAAGGTAAAGAAGAAGGAAGAAGAAGAATATACAAATGGTAAGGAAAGTGCGTGAGAGAAGTTAGAGGGTTAGAGAGAGAGAGGGGGGGTTAGGGAGGGAGAAGATGTAAATGGGCCCCACAATACAAAATAAACAGATGTTAGTTGAAAATAAATGGGCAGCGATGGGTGCCCTATTTTTAATAGTTCATAATTTATTTTATATCCTATTATAGTATAAGGTATTTAATGATTTTTTAAAAAATAATTTACAGTTAAATTTATATCCTTACCTTTAAAAATAAATGTCCATTAGTTTGAAATTAACATAGGGTGCTAGGCATTCCGTTATTTCATTTTCATCTTTTAAATATTAAAATATTCTCTTGCATAGCATGGGGAGTAAGTCCAGTTTATGTTAAAAGCCATGAGTGTGATCTTATAAATATGGTTGGAAAGAGGAAACAAAATATTCAAGAGTATTGTTTTGGGTTTAAAAAAAAAAAAAGCAATCTCAGCAAGAATGGATTCGTTGGATAAGCATGTGAGCTATGTCTGTCTAAGAAAGCCCATGATGCGAAAATATCAAAGCCCACGTTCCTCTATGAACTATCTGCCATTTTTTGGGTTTCTGGTTCACTAGCCAGCAGAATCCTTCATTTCCTGCCCCTTATCCTCAACTTTCTTCTTCTAAACCCTCCTCTTCCGCTTCCTCTTGTACTTCAAGATAGAAACATGTCTATCACATCGTCGATACCTTTGTTGAAGACCCTAACAATGGCAGAATCACGCCTTCTCTCGCTGCCATCTTCAATCTCCAACAAAACCAAGCACCCTTTTACCTCCATTCCGTCCAAACCCTTTCAACTTCAGGTTTCTTGCTCCAATTCCTCTCTCTTTTTACCACCTCTGTCCCTTACCCTCACTAGGAAAACCCACAATTTATCTATACTCACATTCGTAGCCCAGACTTCGGACTGGGCTCAACAGGAGGAAGACAACACCGTCACCATAGATGAAGAAGAAAATCAAGACTTGGATGACCCAGAAGCTCGTCTTTCGGATTGGGATGTTGATGGTGAAGGCGCGGCAATTGAGGGTAGCGAGGGCGAAGGAGAGAGTAATGAAGATGATGAATTTTTGAAGGACGGTGATTTCTCAGAACCACCGGAAGATGCAAAACTTTTTATCGGTAATTTGCCTTATGACGTTGACAGCCAGAGATTAGCAATGCTTTTTGAGCAGGCTGGAACGGTGGAAATTGCCGAAGTGGGTAACCTTCCGATAGATAAGCTTCGTCCTTATGGGTCGTGACGGTGCTTGAGGTTTTAGCTTTCGCGTGGGTGTTCATTTGGTTTTTGTGATTGTAGGTTATTTATAATAGGAGCACTGACCAAAGTCGTGGGTTCGGATTTGTAACGATGAGTACAGTTGAGGAAGCAGAGAAAGCTATTGAAAAGTTCAATCGCTACGTAAGTCTTTCATATTCATTTTGTTTGCTTAACACCAAAAAAAAAAAAAAAACTAATTATAGACTTTGACGCTTGTTTATCCGTCATGGGAGAAAGTCTGCGAACTTGTTCTGATAATGACATAACAGTAAACACAAAACTTGTAAGAATTTTCTGATTATAGCAAGGCTAGTCTGAGATTTGATTCAGTTTTATGCTATGATAAAATATTGAGCTAGAAAAAATTTCTCTGGGATTAGAAGGTGGATGGTAAGTGTTACTTGTTAATATGTTCCTGATTCCCTGCAGTACTAGCAAATAATAATAAGGAAATATCAGTACTGTTCTTGTTTTTTAGAATAAACTATGAAGGGAAGGCTGAACATATCCATGAGTCTTGAGATATGTTTCTTTCATGCTGACAACATGAGTCAACTAACTTTCATATGACATCTTTTCATCTTTCCTGACCTGACAGTTCTTATGCATACCTTATAATCCCCATTCGGCTCTGAGAAGAATTAAATTTAAATGTTGATTACAATTATTGTGCTAGTACTGTATGATAAAGGTGGACTTTATGTTATAGAGATGAGAGGGAAAAGCATTTTTGTCTATTCTTTATCTTCTAAAGCAGTTAACCCAACATTTTGAAGGATTGCTTTTCAAGGCTAACTAATCTTGCAACAGGATGTAGATGTTATCCTCGTCTTTTGTCATTGTGCTAGTGATGTTTTGCCTTACATGGTAAAACTTTTCGAGATTTGTATATTGTGAAGGAGTAAGTGTTCAAACTGAGACTCAGAATTGGTGTTTTGTGTTTAATGACATTTGAATAGCTTTCTACTTTGGCATCTAATTACACACTGAAATTGGGACTCCATAACTCATTCAACTATATTTATTGTTGATCTTGGGCTTGTATATATTCATAACGGAGCTAGTGTCACACCCTGTCCCTACTCCAAAAGGTTAAGATGTGTCTTACAATTTATTTTTGTCTAGAAGTGCATACTGCTAAGATTGCCTTTGATCTTGAACTACCTTTTTCTTTTGTCATTTTTTCTGGAATTCTTTGATGCTTATTGTCTTCATTTAACAGGATCTCGATGGAAGACTGTTGACTGTTAACAAGGCTGCTCCCAGAGGAACACAGCCAGAACGCCCACTGCGATCCTTTGAACCATATTTCAGAGTCTACGTAGGCAACTTGCCATGGGATGTCGATAATGGTCGCCTGGAGCAGATTTTCAGTGAACATGGTAAGGTTGTCAATGCTCGGATAGTCTATGACAGAGAGACTGGTCGCTCTCGTGGTTTTGGCTTTGTCACTATGTCCAGTGAGACAGAAATGAATGATGCCATTGCTGCTCTTGATGGTCAGGTATCACATTACCGCTTTATTGCTTGATCGAATTTGCCTGCATTGGTAATCTAAATGTGTTTTGTGCTGCATCCAGAAGGCAGCACTTTTTGTGTGTGTGTGTGTGTGTGTGTGTGTGTGTTTTTTTTTTTTTTGTGGAGTTGAACCGTTGTATCACTGCATGGGATTTAGATTTTTGGAGGATCTGACCACGTGTGTGTTGTACAAGGCTGCTTACCTTGTGCTTAGGTTTTATTAATGGGTTTATTATGTGATATGATGTTGGTTCTGCTATTGCAGAGTTTGGACGGGAGGGCAATTAGAGTAAATGTTGCTGAGGAAAGGCCAAGGAGAGGTGGCTTTTGATTGGTGATTAAATACTCCCAAAATAAAGCTGTTATTTGGTTTTTCCCCCGTAGCTGAGGATAATATAGTGCCAATTTTCTTCCCTGAATATTCCATTTTGCTTTGTCTATTGTCTTTTTTTCTTCTTTTTAAATTTATCACTGCTGCCAGTTTGAGATTAGATTTACATGTCACTGCTATGAATTTGATGCGCTGATGAACATGATTAAAGGTATGATTTCGGATTCCAGCGATACTAAAGCACTGTTTTTGTTGCTATTTATTGATGGAAATATGATAATTCATGCAACTGTAGCTGAAACTTTGGTCACATGTTGAAGGTCACTGAGTATTGACCATAAGGATTGATTTGATTTGAATTTTTGAAAGAAAATATATTTTCATAATTTTGAAGTGTTATGAAATTAAACTACTGTAATTAGGAGATTTATTAAGTAAATTTAATCCCAAAAGCTTGGGCATTCCCTTCCATCTCACAGCAAAACAAACAGTAATAAACAATTTGCTTCAATAAAGTGTGGAGTGTGGACTGCCATAGCGGCTTTGAGAAGTTTAGCATTTGTTTTTTACCTATTTATATATACATTTTTAATTAGTGGAGAAAACTCATGTTAGTGTAGACTTAACTTGGCCGCCAATTATTGGCAATCAAGATGGGCCAACAAAAGCTTGGATTTGGAATTATTGGGTGATTTAAATCTACTCATTTCAATTATTGTTTTGCATATCAAGGTAATAATTGTTCGATTTAATTAGTTACATGAGGAGTGTTTTGATTAGAAGGGTCGATTTGTATTTTTGAGAGACTATTTCTTGATAATTCTTACGAATTGTAAATACTGTGGTTGGAACATTTATTGGGTAAGTAAATTTGAGGAAGGATGACAATTATGTCTTAGAACATTGAATTAATGATGATTCAGTTTTTGAGAGGTTTTTAAAAAAGTAAGTTTGAAGTATCAATTCAAATAATTATAAATTTAAAAATTTTAATTGTAAATAAATATTTAAGTATTAAATATTATTCTTAAATTTTTTAAAAAATATATTTTTTTGTAACCATTGAAATTGATATTTATAATTTATTTCAAAAAAATTTTATTGAAGATCTAACCGCTATTAATTTAATCTCTCGAGAATTAATTATCATTCTTCCTAATCCCAAAAGCTTGGGCATCCCGTTCCATCTCAGAACAAACATTAGTAACCAATTTGTTCCAATGAGGTGTGGAGTGTGGATGATGCTGTCCGGAATTCACTGCCTTCGGTGCTTTTTCTTAATCCAGGAAAAAGGTGCGGCGACATGCCACAATTTGTGATGCGTCAGATCCCATGAAAGGCCAAAATTATTTGACCGCACAAGCTACAGACAATCGAGCCACTGTAAGCAGTCCGAATATAAAATTGTAGTTGGAAAGAAACTTCTGTCAGTTTCTTTCTTCTTGGGCACTGAATATTCACTACTATTATGTTATTGAGAGGAAATAAAACTGTACAGAAGGCGGTCTGTATGTCATATTATGACGACAACATGTGATGTCTACAAACTATTTATGAGTGGAAGGTGCACATCAACTTACGCAACTTCTTACAGCAACTCGGACATCCAACCATATGAAACAGAAATATTTGTATTAGGCAGCCTTCTTTTAACTTGGGATTTTGCCCCCAGATCAGTGGCCTCGCAGTTGAGCATCTCGACTTGTGAGAGGCACATAACGAACAGAAGTCTCACTCCTGACACTGATAGAACCATCAGATTTTTTGTCAATCACCTTTAAATCCTGAAATATGTTCCCCACAGGAATCACCAGTCTACCTCCAGGCTTCAACTGATCTATGAGTGGTTGGGGGATTTCTCGTGCTGCTGCTCCAACATGTATGGCATCGTACGGAGCATGCTCTGGCCAACCTTCCCTTCCATCTGGCACACAGCAGTCACTCAAGAAATTACACACGCCCCATATAGCAGACACCACAAATGAAGTAAAGATCGCAGAATATGGATATTATCACCACATGGCAGAGGCCAACTGGACAGTTTAGTTGACTAATCACTTCAAACAAATCCTAAATCAAAATCATCTGGGTATTTATATTTTCCTTTTGTTTGATGTAAGGCCTTGATACAATTAAAATTAATCAAACACATTAAGTCTAATGTCATGGCTAGCTAGATCAGAAGAAAGAGAGTTTTCTGGATTTTGGTGGTGCTAAAGTTTAAACAGCAGCAACTCTAGAAAACATACCACCAACATGCACCGAGAGGGAACCATCTTTCAACAGTGGAGCTGCAGCACTTTTCTGAATGTTCTCCAATGAAGAAGAAACTAATTCGGGAATATGCTCCACACCGACAGCACGACCTTGGGGTCCAACCATCAAAGCAAAGCATGCCGTAAGATAGCCGGTTCCTGTAAAAAATTGACAGTATGAATATGGTGAATCTTGATGAAAAAGAAAAAGAAAAATCTGAAAAATACTGACAAGCAAAATCATTTAAATATCTTTTGTACTTATGACTCATATCGGCATAAAGATTTTCATTCCCTCTCAAGCAAGCAACCTGCGTTGCTATATAAGATATTTTATTCAAGATATGATAGAAGAGATAAAGATCATGAAATATACCAGAGCCAACATCCAGAGCATGCATCCCGGGCTGCAACTTCTGCTCCAGCAACTCCAGACACATGGCATGCATATGAGGTGCAGATATAGTGGCATTGTAGCCTATTGCCATGGGACTGTCAACATAAGGTGGAGTCCCATCGGGCACAAACAAAGCTCTGTCTACAGTCTCCATAACCTCAGCTACCTTTTTTGATGACACAACTCCATAGCGTTGCAAATTCTCCACCATTGCTTTGTTCCTGTTGATGCTATTCCCAGACCAGAATTGCTGCAATTTCAGCGGAAAATAATTTAAATGATTTTTTTTCCTTCCAAATAATGATAAGAGAGAGCAACGTCATGGAGCATAAACAATTATTAATGCAGATCTGTGTTCTCTTTTTTTCTCTTTCCTTTCTCTCCCTGGGTGGTGAACCCAGAGAGATGAAAGGCTAAAATTATGATCTGAGGAAAGGTAAAAACTATAAAAAGCAATCAAGTCTCGGCACCAGCATTAATTACTTCCTAATAGAACATTAATCTATGACCATCAATTCAGATACCTTGTTGAGTTGCTCAACCTCTTCATGAGAGAAGACAAAGGGTCTAGTAAATTCATACAAGGATATTGGACATGCATCATGTTGGTAATCATTAGAGAGAGTGCAATAAGTCCCCCCATAAGTTAGCAGCACAAAAGTGTATGTCCACACCACTTGATAAAATTGACCCTGACATTCATTTATTAGAAATTCCAAATAAAAGGTATATTACATACAACTCATATCAAGGGCCTATCATCTATATCAACTCACAAAAGACACAACCACTAAAATAACCGGAGTCAATAGTTAAAGATCATTTTCAGTTCACATTGAGTCAGTGAAAGGCAGTTCTAGGTTGGAACATAGCCATTATCCCAGCATATTACCAGGATGAGGGTCCGAAAATTTAAAAAAAAAAAGAAGAAGAACTATGAGCTAAAATCTCAAATTACTCACCAGATCACAATACGTTGAAGGTTCAATTGAGAGAGATGCATCAATACATGGCCTATCTAATTTATACGTTTACTTGAACTTCATTGGTTCACCTATGTTCTATAGTTTCCACCTCCATTCAATCAATTGAAATAATTCAGGATAACATAAAAATCGAAGCTTGACGGACCAAACCACTTTGCAAACGAAGACTTGAAATCCGTAACCTTCCAATAGGTGAAAAAAAACCTCCAGCTCCATATATAAATTAACGATCCAATAATTTCCACGAAATAGCTTAATTAAACCTTAAAAAACTATACGTGGATCAATACGAAGGAAACGGCTTCATGAAAGTTGATAAAAAACGAAAGCTAAAACTACGCAAGTAGGAAAAAGAACCAAGCGACAACTATCAACGGTTGAACCAGAAATATAAACAATTTCGAGAGGGCAAAAATCTTGTGGATCGTCTCAGTAGATTTCAATGCAATAATCAATTGAAAACGCTAATGAGAGAGAAAAATAAGGTACCTGCATCCTCGATGACCGTGAGTTACCCGTGAGGAAAGTAGAGCTGGTAACAATGGCGGATTGAACTAAGAGAGAGCGTGAGCGCGAACGTCGGTGGGAGAATGTTGAAGTGACGAGATGCTTCAGAGGGCGTGCAGACGCAAAGGCTGGGGATAATAGTGGCATTTCTATTGTTCTCGCTGTTTCTCACAGTTACAATATTCCATACACGTGTGAAAGGATCTACCTTTATCATAATATGGGCTTTTTGGGTCCAAAACATGTTATATGGGCTTATTTGGTCCAATATGTGCATTTGGGCTCCGAGCATAGCATTTTTGGGATTGATCTACAAGATTATTTTGGGAAAATCATAGTAAAGGACCTCTGGAGCATCTTATTTATAGAGAATGACCAAATAATTCTAAATTCATGCTGCAGGACCAATGGACTAAAATATAATTAATTTTTAATGTCAAAAGACAAAACTATCTCGTATTTTTTTAAAAAAAAAACTCCTCAAAGTCACGACTGCCGAAGTTCCATCGCAAGTGGCCGGACCTCTCGCTGGAGCTTAGGCACTAGTCATAAGACCGACGAGGGAGGAAAATTAATTTTTTTTAATGTGCCTTGGGGATTTGAGTCCACATCCTCTTGGCCACTAAAAGGATAGTTAGCCACTCAATTATATAATGCGAATCTTCATATATATATATATATATATATATAAAACTTTGCTTCTACTTTCCATGCCAATATTTTTTAGGAACTCAAGGTTACTTGTCATTTTATAAATGACTACTTGTTAAACTATTAATAAAACTTGTTTATAATATGCACTAGTTTTTATAAATGTTTTTTTTATTACTAAGAATGACAAGTCCCCATTAATAATTTTATAAATAACCATTTGTAAAATGACAAGTCACCTTACTAGCTTTAAAAATTTCTTTTGATAATTTGATAAGTAAATTTTATTAAAATAATAAGTTCATATAAGCTTTTAACATACCAATATGAACTTGTTAAGAGAATAATGCAAATTTATATATATATATATATATATATATTATGAAGAATGCAATTTAACTGAAAATTAATTACATTTTGATTCCTTGGTCCTGCAATGTGAATTCAAAATCATTTGATCATTCTCTGTAAATAAGATGCTTCATAGGCCCTTCATTGTGATTTTCTCTTTTATTTTTTAGGATTAGGAATCAGCTCAATTATAACTTATAGGGTAAAGGTGCATTTTTGTCCCTAATATTTTTTTCCAGGGAGCACCTAATATCCTAATATTTTTCATGTAGTACTTTCGCACCTTAAGTAATTAATTCAGAGCATCCACTACCTTAACTTTAACTCCTCACACTTGGACTGTTAGAATTGCTTAGTTAGACTACATTTTGATCGAGAATACTAAGTTGGACTAAACTCTTCCTCTCTCTCTCTCTACATTGTACAGTCAACTGGTCAAAAAATTTCTTCCTAAAGTTAATCTCCTTTCTCTCTCACCAACCTCCTCTCCTCTCTCTCCCCTCCATACTTTCTCCAACGTTATGCATGCATGCATCGCTTATGCATCTTGTAATAGAAGGTGGTTTTTGGTCCCATGTGGTCAACAGAGTAGAGGTGAAAGAGGAGGAGCTATTGCGTAAAGGTGACGACTATAAAGAGAAAGGGAGATGAAGGAGACTGGTTAAGGATCGATAGTGCCAAGGTCTCTATTCTCCCCTATTTTTGTTCTTAGAAATAGAGGCTGGTCAATGGTTATATTGTTCACTTTAAAAGGTGTCATCCACGAGATAACTGACAAGATCATGACCGACACTAGAAAGGCATCAACATTAATGGTGTGGATTGGCTTTTATTATCAATAAAGAGCATAATGGGTTACTATGACCTTCGAATATTTACAGTTGTCACCATCGTCACTCCAAATGTCGGCCACATAACTCATCTTCCTCACCATCTTCACTCCAAACATCCACAACACAGCTATCTCAAGTCATCACAGTCACTCCATGGTTAGGGAAGAATGTCAAAGCTTGAACAGGTGGTTTTGGAAATTTGAAAAATCATTATAGGTGTTTTGGTCAGTAAAATCATTGTGAGAGGCCAAAGAAGAGGTGGATCATCGCCGATAATAGAAAGGATAAGGTTCAAGGTCGACGACTATGAAGAGAGAGGGAGATAAAGATGTCGAGCTTCAACGATGGTAATGGTGAATGTAGTAGAGGCGTGGGCTTTGAGGTAAATGGTTATGGTAGAGGCTATTGAGCTTTAACCTTCGTTGGAAGTGGGTAAGCAGTGATGAGAAGAAGAGGAAGTAGGTGATGAGGGTGTCGTATCAATGCTTCTAGTGTTCCTGTTCTAGAGGGAGATGATAACGCTAAAGACTGAGGCAACAATAAAAGAATCATCATCAAAGAGGGATGATAACCTATGACATAAAATGGGGCCCATAAGAAATTTTTAACAGAGTTAGTATGGATCTAATGTTAGGGTAACATGTACACCGAATTAATTACATTAGGGGCAAAAATGCTATGCGAAAAATATTAGGGTACTGAGTGCTCCTCGAAGAAAATATCCAAAGCAAAGATGCACCTTTAGCGTAACTTATATGTAGAGACCAACAGGTGTCGATGACCTTTTTACCAAAAAGAGAAAAAGAGTTGGCTATAATTACTTAAGTATGAGATCTTGGATTCAAGTACGCATGAATACAAAAAAAAATGCCTGCGGAGAAATTATTCTCAATAAAACTTGAAAATACTCGAATTTTGCTTTATTAGATAACCATATAAAAAAACCCTTGTATGTAGAGTTGTCCCAAACAAATGTGATAACATAATTTTTTTTTCTTTTTAATTTTTTTCTTAATTAATTGATTAGTCTTTTAACTTTGACTTAGTACAACCTAATCTTTATAGTTTATTGAGTTAATAAATTATAGAAATTGAGTTGTATAAACAAAGTATAAGAGTTAAGTTTTTTTCTAGTCAAAAAACAATATAAAGGCTAAATTATTCTGAGTCAAAAGTTAAGATGTAAATTCTCAATTAAAAAATATAAGGTATTTTTAATCAAATCTCACTTTTCAATAAAATAGTTACATATTTTTAAACTAACCCTATCTTTTTATATTTATCCCTATTAAATATCCTATAATAAATATAAAGTTATTTATCAATAGAGGTACTTTTAAAAAAAAAAAGCAATAATTATACCTTGAAAAACTAAAAATGCCTTAATTTTTGAACATCCAACTTCTAAAAAAATACCTAACATTTTTAAACGGATGAAATAATTGAAAATAAGTTCAAGTACCAAAACTTATATTTTCTGAGAAAGATTACTATCCCTCTTCAAATTTTAAATTGAATTCTAATTTTTTAATACCAAAACTTAAAATTTATAATTTTAAAAATTTACTTTAATATCGTTTGTAAACTCCTTAAAATTTATTCATAATTTATACAAATCTTTAATTATAAAAATCTATTTTTGGACTCAAGCTGTCAACATAGCGAAAATCATTAATTAGCACTCAAATGTAACTATTTTTAAATTATTAAAATATTACTAATTTTATCATCATAGTTCCCTGTATATATTTCCTTACAATTTTTTCCTACACGGAAGGTTCTTAAAAACCCTTGGTGTCAAGCAACCAACAGTTAAAAAAGTGTAAAAAGATATTGAAGTAAGAGTTTCTTTGGATACTTAGCTCCTTCAACAAAATATAATTATAAACTTGAAAAGAACAGCTAGCCGAGACACCTATATCCACTATATTCTTTCTAATCCTTCATAAATTAACCTAACCTAAATCGAGGCCTTTGTTTTGAGTTCATGAGCTTCTCCATTCTATATGCAAACCTTCGTGCCAAAGATTTAGCACAGTTCTTTCCTTCCTTTTTACAGCTAAGGTAATCATATTGACATGGATAGCCTAATGTCTCCAAGTAAACCCCTCTAATATTAATTTGAATGAGAACTGGATAACACTTTTTTCTTCTTTAAGGTAAAGTGATTGAGGAAAAAACAATGTGTACATAAGCAGTCCACTATATATAGCTAGCTATATATGCATTATCTATGTGTAATGTTATCCCATAAACATGACATGATAATCACTTTGGCTTTTATTTCATATGCTTCGCCACAAGTAAGGTATACTACTTGCTTAATAACACTTTATTCTACCTCTTATAGCAATGCAGCTATACTTGAAAAAAAAAAAGACCTCCTATAGCTATATAAGCCAGTACATATATGTGTGTACGACTACGTTTACTCATAACATACCAAACATTGCCTATAGTGTATTTGTGATATATCGTTTTGTTATAGTAAGCTAAGGTTGTCAGAGACATGGCAAGCATGGAGCCACAACCACAATATCAGAAGAGAGAGCATCAGTTCTTCTTAACATCTGATGACATAGCCATGATGAAGCAAATTCAGGCCATACATGTACCTGATGATAGTGAAGTTAATGTCAGGCCCATTATCCATATTATTGAGGAAATGCTGATTCACTCTATTGCTAGCAATATTAAGGATGGTGACCTTCATGTACACCATCCCCCTTCCCCTAAACACACACATGCATGAACTTCTATGTTATTTTAAAAAAGGTTTATGATGCAGGCATCCTCGAGAAAAAGTTTCAAGACTTTTTTACCTTTTAACCCTATATCTTGAAGAATAGAGATCATGAGATATAGAAGTTGTTCCATTAAGAAATTACACATCTAAATTTGAACTAGACTTATCCTATGCGTTGTACTGATTTTAGATTTTGAGATGTTATAGCTAAGATCAACAAGCTACTGCCAATTGGAGAAAGGAGATCAAGATTTTTCATTTTTGCTCTAAACCTTAACTTTAAGGCAACCTATAAAGGAGATAGCGAGTGCCTCACTAACTGTTGATAATTTACTTTTAATAGCGGGTGAGCTTTCACCTGTTATTAATAGTTTGATAATAATTTTTTTTTTTTTAAACACTTTAATACCGAGTTAATTTACACCCGATGTTAAAAGTATTTTCTATAATGGTTATTTTTTTACTTGATGTTGAAAGCCCTACATTAGCATCATAATATTACAAAAATGCCACCACCTCTACTTTTAACAACAAGTACCTTTTAACCAATATAAAAGGTCTCT